GACCAAGGCATGGGTGGGTGGACAATATTACAATTGATCTTAGAGAGATATAATGGGATGGTATGGATTGGATAGATCTGGCTCAGGATAGGGACCAGTGGAGGGCTCTTGTGAACATGGTAATGAACCTCCAGGTTCATAAAATGCTAGGAAATTCTTGAGTAACTGCAGAATTGGCGGCTCTTCCAGAAGGGCTCAGCTCCATGAGTAAGTAAGTAAGGCCATTATTAAGGAGAAGGGGAAGGGGGGGAGGGAATGAGAGTCAAAGCGCCGAATGCTAACTGAAGAGGAACTGGATGAAATCGATGCTAAGCTTGAAATTCTCTTTGGAAAACTCTCAGATTTACACAGGATACCAGGGTTTCTATGACGTCAGTATGAACTATGGCAGAACTCCTGATACCGAAACCATGCAAGGCAATAATTGTCGGCTGGCACGTAACGCAGAAGCTCGCTTCATGGTAGCTACTAAACCATTTACTGGGGTGATACTGAAGAGATATTACAATTGTACAGGCTCTTGGTTTGCTGAGTCCTCCATCAGTCTACCAGCGTGAATCTGTAGGGCTCGAGTTGACAAGAGGAACACTTGTTCTCATTAACCTAGCGGCCAAACGATTTGATGCAATTGTCTTTTTCTTACATGACCTACTAAAGAATTAGAAATTTTGGATGAGTCCAAATTTTTGAAAAACTAGAACTAGGGGGTGTTGTGAAGTATGTAGGGTATTTTTTTGCCAAAATGTCGTTATTGAAATATGGATGGCTGAGGGTTCTGTATGAAACTGGAAAACGTATTGGTCAATATTTTTTCATAGTTTCTCTAAATGGTTCCACTCAGAAACCGTTAATTATTTGTAGGTTTTTTAATAACAGAGCATCAGTTGCAGAGGTTATGCAACTTCAAATGAAACGCGAAGAAGCCTGTGAGCAGAACTGGGCAATCAATATGTCAGCATTAACATAAAATTTAAGAAGAATCAGCAAGTACTTTTAAATCAGTCGTTTAAACTAACCTCCTTGGTTTTAGCATGTCACAAATAGTTTTGTCCAGCTTGTGTAAATCGTATGGAATATAAGTGAAAACTCTGCAGTGAAGTTTGATATGAAAGAGTTTAATAAACGTTTTCAAACTGTTCCTCAATAAATTGCCATGAACTACCATACTATTCTCGTGGCTGGACTTTTATGAGGGGAACAGCAATAAGCCTTAGAGCTGTATACAAATAAGAGAGCTATAATTAAAAAAAAAATACGGATATTAAAATAAAATTTGTTTATAAGATTCTGAGTGACTACTTCATAAATTTATATAACAGAAAAAAAACTATAGGAATTTTGAATGGCATATAATCAAATTGTTTGAAAAAACTGTTTTTATATGGCAACAATTTACCTTTGAATGACTGTTTTTCTTCATTGCAAACCTGTGCTGTAAACTGTTGTAAAATTACAGTGAAATTAAACTGAATCAAGTACAACAAGAAGTTTATCTTCCACCATCAAAGATCACATTATGTTACCACTCTGTGACACTGAAACTCAGCGGTCACTTTAGTGATACAACTTCTAAAACATTACAACATGGATTGTGCCACTTATGAGAAGTCGTAATCAATATCTGGTGGTATACTTTGGGTCTAAGGGTTTTCAAAACTTGATTTTATGTATTTTCCATGTGTTGTCCTGTAATTTTACACTCCCAATGTTCGGATTTTAATTTATTTCTGATAAATCAGCTGCTGACACAGTGATACAAATTCTGAAATTACCAAAGCTAGTGAAGAGTTATGACATTTACAGTGCTCAATGGTTTAACTATTTCTTCTTAATTATATTCAGTTAAACACACATTATGTTGCAGAATAAAAATGTTTATGCCTTGAGCCTGATGTAAAATAGATATTATGGACTGATATTGAGCAATTAAATTTCACCCAACAACTTTTAGTATAGATCACAAATACAATTCTGTCAATCATAAATTTCAGTCTGAATGCCACACAATTAAATTTTTGTCTTTGTAGAGAGAACTTTGTCACAAATCCCAACAGTTATGGCATGGTTGTCTTAAATATATTATTCCTACTATGTAGAGAAAACATTTGTAGAACTTATGCATAATAAAAACATACAAATAAATTCATCAAAATATTTATTTAAAGAATAATATTTTACTACAGTCAACATCATTATGTGTCATGTATCACAGATATTTTTGCAGAATCTGAAAAGTTTATACCTCGAGCTTCAGTAGTCTACACATTGCATTATAACTCTTACATAATACAAATATTTACTATTACGTACTAAAGGAAATTGATCTTCCAGCAGAAACATCAATATATCTTACTTTAGAGTCATGCAGTATCACATATGCATAACTAAATTCAACAATGTGGCAGTGTTAAGTCTTGATAAGGGATGAATTCATATATACACCGCCGGCAAGAAGCTGGTGGACATTCACAAGCACAATAACTATCTTCGATTATGATGTAAAAATTAATTTGGATGTGGTATTTGCTGCACTCTGAATAAACTACAAAATACACTCTTAAGGGCTAGAACAATGCCCAGCATAAGCAGGGACTGGGGGGGAGGTGAGTTTTACGTTAACTGGCTTAAAACTTTCCAAGGCTACTAGACATCTTAGATATTGCATTTATCATGTCTTTATGTGTAGGCATGAGGTTGCTACAAAGCATGACTGTTAGGTTTAAGTTAGAACAGCATCTGAGCCTAGGCAGCTAAAAGCCAAGGCCATTCTTATAACATTCAAGACAGCTCATGGTTCTTCACATTCCATTATTTAATGCAGTCAAACTGGGTTTTAACTCATTTATCACACAAGACTAGTCATGTCAGTACAACTAACATAAATCCTTTCGGCCCAACTGAAGTGTGTGGTTAGCTTTACAAGCCTATATAAAGAATTATCTATTCTTGCATTAGGAGGATCACTTATATTTCTGCTGTTATACATAAGGAAACAGAAAACATTTTTACAAATGTGATGATCCTGAGTATTTTCAAATATAAGTAGTATTATGATTTCATTAACCAGATTGTATGTAAACAAAGTAATAAATCAATGTTATTCTAAAATCCTCCAGGAACTAATAATATATTAATAAAAATATATGTGACTTTTTATTGAGAAATGTGTATGATCATATATACGAGAACTCTCTCTTTTATCAGATTTCAGATTTTCCTCTTTCTTAACCACTGCAGATTGGTTGCCCGAACCTGTAACCCACTAGGATATTGCAGACAGTTGTATCTCTTCCACATGGTCTTTATGCGTTAAAATGTCCTGACATATCCCTTAAATCAAAATCTCCCAGCCTTCAAATATCTTAATACATACTCCCACAGTTTTCCAAATTATATGTCATAACAAATTGTTTCTAGGCTTCTGAATATATTGCTGGATTGCCAGGTTTCCTGTACACAAATATTTCAACTATACTGCCACATGAAAACATCTTTGGGATTCACCAAGCTTCAAGAGTACATCATCTTGGGGTAAATCATCCCCAGTGTTAAGCTAAACCCTTTAATCTAGTGTTAAAGTTGGGATGTGTGGAGTCCTTACCTCTACAAGTCTATACACATTTACAACAGTGAGCTTAGGAATTCTATTCCTCTTTAGGCTCTAGTAGTCTAGTAGGTGCTCAATCCTCAATTTTCATAATTTAAAATGCTGAGTCAGCAAGTTTTCCACTAAAGACATTAATACTTATGTAACACATTCTCAAGTATCATTTCTGACCTAATGTACAACATATACTGCTTTATAATTTTATAGATTGAATAATCTAATAGTAACAGCGACTTTATTATTTTAAAACTTGTCTCACTGCAATTGAAAATTTATGCATTGTATTCATAAACAGTAGTTTCACTTGGCGATGCTTGAAAAGGCATGTAATTCATACCAGAAAATCAGAGAAAACAAATATTATTGTTGGGCCTACTGAGGGCACATTAGGCATGGTGCAAATTATTCTGTTCAATTTACACACAAGTTTTGAATTTCTAAATAGGACAAATGCAACAATAATGAGAAATATGGTTATAAATAAGAAAACAGGACCCTAGTCTTCTTTGGTGGAAAGGAAAAGAGAGCATATTTAAAGACAGAAATTCACGTCACCTTCCTGATCACTTCAAGCGCTGTCCTGCACTCTGGCAATGACCGCTCTCTGATCTTCATCTACTATAATAGGGACAAAGATTAATCTGGCCTCTTGGAGTTCTGGCTATATAACAGCTTCTGATGTAGAAAACCACACAAAAATATTTTGATGAAGTTAATTAAATAATTAACGGAGGATGCCTCAAAAAGGAGATACTCTTTGGGTGACAGTACCAGTACCTTCAATATGGAAACCTTGGATTGTGACATGATTGTATGTAGAATATAACATACATATAAAGGTGAAGGAACAGTTATCCTTGCACTTCCTTAATTAAGCACTGCACTACTATAATTTTCCTGGAGAGTAAAGCACAGCCGGTGCGTAAGGCTGACAACCTTACCGCCATCTTTGAGCCGATTGTCTAGATAATGTGGGACCCTCAACGTCTCACAACCCTATGGGCCTTCATGGCCTGTTACAGGGATAGCTTTACCCTTTTTTTTGCTACTATAATATTCATTCATTTATCAGTAATCTGTCAGACGACAGGTCCACAGTCTCTTCCAAAACAGTTCCTCCACTTAATGCGATCTTCTGTTTTTGGAAAGAGACTATCCAGGAAAAGTAATAATGTGGTAGTTTTTCCATATACAAGTATGATAAAACAGTGCAGCTGTTCTAAAGACAATAATGTAAAACTGTATTAATTTTGATTTTATCATTGAGAAAATGGTGAAGGGGATGAAAGATGACAATGGATGAAGAAGAATGCTGATATATAAACTCTGCAATGTGCACTAACAGTTTCAGGTCATGTTAAAAAGATGGACTTAACAATACATACTAAATGAATATTTCTACAATAATATTTATTGTTTGCAGTTTCACAGTGACAGAGAACATGCAAGCCCTACAAAATCATGACTGAAGACACAATGAGTTATGTGTAAAAAAGATTTTATGCAACTCATCCTGATGCAGTAATCTGACTAATAATATTCAGCATGTCTATAAGGAACCACAGTTGAAATGCACAATTATGCATCCCACAAAACTAGCAGAATGGAAGAATACTTTGAGCATTATATAGATAATGTCTCCAGATTAGGTTATGAAATGTACTGGGAAAGTTCTCAAACAGTGATCATAAAAACACAATTATTCAAGAGTTATTGAAAATAACTACAGCATATTTGACTTGAATGAACCTGTTGTGGAATTGCCATGGCTAGTGTGAAATTACCTGTACTGCAGAATAACATTTATATCCAACATACACACTATGTAAAACTTATTTGATACATAACCTAGTATAATAATGTCTTCATCTTCTGGAAGTTGTGTATGGTGTCATTTTAAATATTAAAAACTGTCAGTGTATTTAACTCATTTATCAGTAGTGCTGTGAGATTAGCCAAGTCTCCCTTACTCATAGTGTTACAATTCTGTCACATTTGCTACCTTTGTCTAACTATGTTAAAAACCATACGACTTATGGAAAAAGTGTATTAGGCAAAAGAATGTAAGATTCATTTTTCTCTACATTAGTTGCTTTTCACTCCACTGAATATATAGTGGGTTATGCTGAAGTTGGGTGAAGAATTGCTCAAAGATCTACCTGCAATGGTCAAATTTTAACAAAAATTGGAAAGTGCCAACTAAATTACTGAAGGGATAATGTAATGATGAATCCTTTCAATGGTACCCAAGTTGTTATGTAAAGATGGAAGGACAGACAGATACAGCAAAGCCAACAGGTTCATTTTTGCAACCATGAGTAAGAAATGCACAAAAATTTGCTTTCAGGTATATATTAGTAATGAATACAATATTTTTCATATTACTGTGCTACTTTTTATCGTTTATTATATAACACAGCACACCAGATTATGACTAGACATTCATAAAAACAAGAAGTACCATGAAATGCACTGATGATACAACTTTTCAAATAATGGCTAAGAAGAATACTAGGAATATCTTTTATACACAATATAATTCCGTCAATGATACAACTATTTCTATCACTCCTTCCCTTCACAACAATGGGTTTACGTATGGAAAACAACAGTGAACATCCAGGCTGCTACAGTACAAGAATCCAAAGAGATACTGAATTATATCCATTGAACAAGTCAACGATGTTCCAAGTAGAGGTGTACAAAATAATTTAACAGATTTTAATGAATTCAATTTAACGTAAAGTACAGTGTATTTTATTTTAAGTAATGTTAGCTAAGTTATCGATTATAATATCCAGTATTTTAAATCATGAAATATTGCAGTTATGTGTGCTGGACATTCTATATAGTGGAACAGTTTTGGCATAACTGAAATTACTGATGATGGCTGTCTGAGGCAGAAACATGTCATAAAGGAAGGAGTGATAGAAATAGTTGCATTATTGATGGAATTATATTGTGTATAAAAGATATATTAATGGAACAGAATGCTTAAATATAATATTTAGAATGTGAGCAATACGTCTATGTAGCTATTACTGACATGTTTTGATTAACTTTATGATCATGCAAGTCTTGTAACTACATGCAAATGATTATAAATCATTTAAACTGCATTACTGATAAATTAGTAAAATACTGTTATGTTATTTGTTCATCTGCTTTCAATAATTTCAATAAACTAGGGTCCTAACTGCATGAAAGCCATATTTTTCAGAAACTTCCAAAAGTAGTAGACAAACAATATTATATTGGTGATATCCCTTGAGAGAAAAAAATCACATAACATTATCAGTTCCATGAATACCTGCTACTAGAAACAGGAATGGAACTTTCTTTGTACAATTAATCCAGTTTCAATCTTTTAACAGGATAGATCCCAGGTTATAAACAAATGATCATGCAAAACGAACTGGACTATTCCATTTTAAAGACAGTATTGTGCCCTTCCATATGATCCCTCTCACTATACTTTGATAGACAGTACAGCAACATAATACCTTTCTTTGCTGAACAATGGAAAGGTCAGCTATCAGATACTTCAAAAGTGAAGCTCATTGAAATATTTAATTCTCATTCCACAGAAAATACAATATCTATATTAAAATGATCAATCAGTTAATGATGTTCAAGAAAATTAACTGGAGTCTATCCTGAAAACAAAATAAAATCCAATAAGTACACTCTCAAGATAACTTTATAAGTTATTGAAATTTAAAAATTTGCCATTGTGCCATGAAGAGTGAATGGAGATACAATATTTTTTGATTACATCATAGACTATATATATGTATGGTGTAGTTTACATCGATTTATGTCACGGTATTACCATGAGAAAAGAAGAGAAAATTTCAAGAGAGACATCAATTTCCAGCACATATATGTAAGTTCAACAAATACAAAAGAAACAGTAAAACGATATTGCACTTATTATGAATTATTAAGTAAAAACGTGAACAGATTTTTGATTGATGAAGTTGTTATATGTTTTCATATTGAGTATTCCTCCAAGAGTTTAAAGAACATTATTATAAAATACTATGAGGTAACATGGTTGACAGGAATAAGAGTGATTAAAGATATACCTAATGTCAGTGTCTTATTTAGATATAGGTGTGCAGGCTCAATGTTCTGAAGATAAAGAAAGATGTATATCTTACGCTTATCCATATTCTGATTTTTCTGTCAGTCTCTACTCATGGATTAATCTGTTTTGAAAACTCAGACAAATAGGAATAAATTAATTTTATTTTATAAAATATTTTACATGAAATAGAATTTGTAACATTTCCTTAAGATGTGGACATTAATGGTGGATACTGAACAGATTAATCACCAGGGCCCGGATATTGATGACCTGAAAATATTAAAAAAATGACCGAAAAATCCAGAAAAATGACCTAAAGGAGAAAAGAAAGAACACTTCGCTTCCATGTTATTCATATTTCAGAAAACATATGAAGAAAAATTCCCTAAAATGGCCAAAAATTACAAGAAAAACCCTTAAAAGCCCAAAAATTTACCAAAAATGATCTTAAAACTAAAAATGTCAAAAAATAACAAAAAATTACCAATAAAATTTACATTTCTGTAACCAGCAGCTCATATCCGAGATTTATATATTTAAGAGCATCACACAGGATACAAGGAAAAAAAGATGACATGTCATCAAATCCGGGCCCTGTTAATCACACTAAAAAAAATAAATAAGAAATTTATTTTTTAGGGTAACATAATTTTCGCAGCCCCTTAAACCCAATATCACTTTGAATAGAAGCGTTTTCAAGTTAGAAATGTATAAGCATTACAATGAATACAAGTATCAACATGAAGAGTGTACTTGGCTGAGCTATGTCAACAGAATTGACGAAGACAGATTCACTAGGACTATAAGGGATATGAAATCTGAGAGTACTATAGAAAACTGTCAACACAATTCTAACTTTGAAGTTACACATGTCTGAATGAACAGATATATAAGTTGTGTTCTTGCTGTAGATACTTTTTATCAAATCTGTCAGCTTCAAACGGCTATTTCGTCCTGTGTCAACAGAGACAGCCTGCATTCTCAGCTCCTGTTTGAGGTTTTGTGTTGAGAAGGATGGCAGCACTTCCACGTCAAACAATGCAGGTTTGATTTCCTGTCAGCCATATTTCTTTAACATTGTCATAACTAATATATTTTGCAAATTTCACAAACATAATATAATGTGATTGTCTGAGAGCTTCCTTAAATTCTTTTGCCACCCATGCACAGCAGACGAAATCACACTGCTCAGCAATATGTAGGAAGCACCTGTACAACTACACTGTACAGAATCACTATAACATACATGTCCTTACCAAAGAATGGAGTAAGTAACTTCAATATCAGAAAGAGCAAAATGTTTTTGTATGGTTAAGGTTCGGCCAAACAGAGCGCTATGTACGCGATGCACGCTACGTATGCTATGTTCGCTATACAAACAGAAAAATATCTCCCTTTATTGCCAATGTGACTGGCCACATAGACTTCCGTATGCTACGTACGTTATGTTCCCTATGTTAGCTGCGTCGCAGAGTGTACACAGCGTACGTAGCGTACGTAGCGAACATAGCGTAGCGCTCTGTGTGGTCGAACCTTTACTAGTATGCATTTCTGGCTGTATTATACAGATACCTTAGGCTCTAAAGTGTAAAGCTCAGCTCTGTCACCACCAGGATCTACACATGGGTCGCATGGACCATGTAGCTTGTTCGGCGTGTCACCTCTGCCCTAGTCTTCCAGTAATGGCGGTCCAGTTTGTGAGCATCACTGTGGGAACGATCTAACAAACACATGTGCAGCACTAAGCTTTCCACAACTTTACATTCCTTCATAGTTTCATACAGTAAGTCACTTAACTGTAAAAACAGAACCACATTATAAAGCAAAGAAGCAACAGTGAAGCCAAGTGAGATAGACAGTCTGTAATAGGTTATGAAACTGCTACACAGCAAAGTTAAATAATTTCTATGACTTTATTTATGGTAAACTCCCAATAAATGAACTTGTTAAGAATTCATGTGTCCTTACAAGGAGAAACAAGTCATCATTTTTAAAATGTAAGGAGAAATTAAGGAAACACCCAGATAAGGTTTGAATAACATTATATTGTAGCATCCTGTTGCACTCTTTGCTTAACGTCTATTATTTGCAGTCTTATGCAGAACACCACATCCCACGACACTTGTTAACTTTNACTCTTAAACTTTACACTTGTAAGATAAAACATTTGATTAGGTAAGCATTGCATGGTAAGGTATGAACAGGAGGTTTGAATAACATTATATTGTAGCATCCTGTTGCACTTTTTGCTTAACGTCTATTATTTGCAGTCTTATGCAGAACACCACATCCCACGACACTTGTTAACTTTTAAAGTTTACAAGTTTAAGAGTTCTCTATGTGTGCTTCGGCCAGTATGGCCATCATCAGGTGTTAAAATCTTTTTGAAGAGGAAACTGCCATCTTCTGTTGTTAATATAAATGCAGGTCTCTTCGATGTGCTTCTGTGTTGGAATTGGTGCATTGTGTTCTTCCTTGCTGTGTGTTTTTCTGTGTGTCTTGTTCCAGATTCCTGAAGGAAGAACATAATGAACCAACTCCAACACACAAGTGAGTCGAAGAGACCTGCATATATTAACAACAGAAGACAGCAGCTTCCTCATCAAAAAGATTTTAACACCTGATGATGGCCATACTGGCCGAAATACACTGTGAACTTTTAAAGTTCTAAACGTTTAAATTTAACAAGTTTTGTGGGACGTAGCGTTGCACGTAAAACTCTGAATAATAAACATTAAGGAGTTTTGAAACTGACACTTTATTCTTAAGCAAGCTTTATGATTGCGATTTGCTAAAATTATTTCAATATTATATGTCAGCAAAAAAGACAATAAAGACATTAAGACAATAAAAGAAATAAATATATCTCAAAGAATTAAAATCTATAAACAAACTGACATATTTATAAATTTCATTTTTATTTTATATATTCAGTTAGTATAGTGAATGGCTACATGCTGGACGACCGAGAGGTCAGAGTTCTAGTTCCGGTAGGATCAAGTATTTTCTCTTCTCAGTGTCATCCAGACTGGCTCTGGAGTTCATCCAACCTCCTATCCAATGGATAACAGGGGCTCTTTCTCTGGGGGTAAAGCAGCAGGGGCGTGAAGCTGACCACTCATCTCCAGCTAGTGCCGAGATCAAGAAAATGTGGATCTAAACATTCACTCCCCTATACGCCTTCATGGCATGGTGCTTAATTAGTTAAACACAAGGACAAATTTACCTTATCTTATACATTTACCTGTGTTCAGCTTTACAACCAACTTTGTATATTTAACGACCAGGGGTTCATAGAAAGGACTGAACATGCTTTCTGATGCTACAAATGAAATATCTGCCACATGAAAACATGCTACAACCAAGTTCTTTCAAAACCAACAATGGATTAAACTGTATTCATAATAATGGAACTGAATATATTCAATCGAAACATGGAAAGGAATCCAGTGTAATCATTTGTTTCTCATATCTTGTTTAATAAATATAAATTCATAAGAATATCTCTCATATTAAGTAAATAGTTCATACTTAATTACTATAAGTTATTGGGAGTTTACTGTAGTTCCACATTTCAAAACGTTAATCCCTTCAGACACTAAAGTAAGGCTGCCTGGGTTGGTTTCCAAATATGAGTGTAACAAATCAAACAGTACAATATTAATTAACACATTATGAGAGGGTTATTCTATTCTTTCTCATTGCAGCAAGAATTGGAAAAGCAGTATACACAAACACATATCCAGAAGCTGAAATCTGTATTGCACAAAACAGTATCAGTGCTTGCCTCTCCAGAAAGTTAAAAAGAAAGGAAAAGTTACAGGCCATCTGCGTGTGATGTTGAGTTAAATGCAAGATGAATTGAGAGTCATACCTCTGTATCTCGTTAACTGCGAGGTTTCACTGAGGACTGAATACCTATCTGCAGCAACTTTGGAAGGGTTGAAGAGGTGTGTGCTGCGGAATGAGCCGACAGGTGTTAGCACAGAGCGGGAGCTGCAGAAGGAGGGTGTTGCTGAGCCTCCTGCACAGCGCAATCTATCTGCTGGTTCACTTGATGGTGGAACTGAGGACAGTCATACATTTGTTATAAGGAAATGAAGGAGGGACTGTATTATTGTAACAAACTATGGTGGCTAGACTACTTACTCAAAATGTTCTCTCTACAAGGTCTTACAATTAAGAATTATCTGCATCTACTACCAGATGTCACTAAACTCTAATCACTGAAGTTATCTTCAAACATTTGCTTTCTGATGTTATACACCCTTTATACACCCTTTGCAATGCCTAACATAAGCGTAAATGCTCAAAGTTATTTCTGAAATTGGAATTTAGGCCTTCTCTAATAGTCGTGTGCTTATAAAATTCTAACTGTCAGTCTGCATCTTCAATTGTTAGTTGTCAGTTTTTTAGTAGTCTCCTTTCAGAATTGAAAAGCAGCCAGCTCACTACTCTTGAGCTGGGTGTCCTTGCTTTGTAGCATTTGACCAGACCAGGCTTCTTTCCATGACACTTCTATCATCTATACTGAATTTTTAGGCATCAGTTCAGTGAAACTTGCTGTATCATGTTCGTTTTCAAGATGAACTTATTTTAAGAACCCAGAACTGTCCTAGTCATTCCTTTTGGGTTCCCTTAGCAGTTCTCAAGGATTCCATGGGTTTCATTACAATCAGAAGACCAATATCAATTATAAATTTATAATTTAAGACATAAAACTGTTACTTGTACTTTCCCAAAATAGTCACCATCCTTATGTACTATGCAAGGCACAGTCTACCCACCAGTATTTGCCAGGAATGACATACCAGAAAAGTTTCTTTAGTTAAAAGACTGATGCCTGATATCATAATATTGCAATATACATTGCAATGTACATTATGTTCCACTGCCTGGAACAGTGACATCATATTTTGATGCAGTTCACATTTCATGCAAATCTGTATGGTTAGTAGCTGTTCTGCATTCTATATACCACAAATATGCTTTGAACATCTTTCTTCCATCAATAGAGGATGATGTACCAGAAATATAATTTAGAAGTTGGATATTTAAAAAGCTGTTATAGCTTTTGCAGAATGGCTGGGTTACAGATTTTGTGTAAGCTTCACATATCTGTTCCTGAAAAGTGTTAAATGTATTATACACATAAAAGGATTATATATAGAGTATGGGAATAGTGGCCTCACTCACAAATTTTGATATGTCATCATGTGTGTATCCATGGAAAGAAGTTTCACAATGCAGCAATAATTATTCACTTACTAAAATACTGAACAAAAATTATTCTTTATACCTGACATTTTTGTATTGGTTTGGGGTTTCATCAGTAATTCTTAAATAGAAATTTTCCATAGTCAAGAATGTTTGGAAAGCTCTTTCTCTGAATTCTATTTGATTCCTTGATTCATAATTAAGTATAATTAAATATTTTGCTGAATTGCTTGTATTATGTTCATTAATTCCAAAAACGCCATTAAACAGTATGCCTTCTATATATTGGAAACTGATGAAACTTCAACGACCTTTAACCAAAGAAAATCACAGCATCCCCAAGGTAATGTAGTTCATAAATTGTTCATGTTTCATGTGGGAATCAAACCCATATTTATAGCTGACTAGACATTAACGCTATGGAGACAAATCAGAGGATGATGCAAAACAGATTTTAATTTGTTTCTATCAACTGTGATATTTAATCAAACAATGATTTGGCTATTGTATGTTGGAGAAATATGAATTAGTTTCAGTGAGAATGCTATCCTGGGACAGACAGCGAATACATATTAGCAGCTGTTTCAAATAAAGAAGCATATTAATTCCTTCAAGACTTCTTTAGAAGACATCCTGCTTTTCCTTGCAGCTATATTTTAAAGACATCAGGTCTCTACTGTTATATTCTTACTTTATTTTTAGATCTTGTTTGATGATGACAAATAAATAAAATGTATCCTCTTACCACAGATGAGCATAAGGGTGCCATTTATTGATGACCAGGCAAAAATACTAGCACAATTTAAGAGTAAACTTCTAAATGTCTCAGAGACAAGTTATGGCTGTATGGGCAGACTGGGTGACATGCCAAGGACAGTGTTTTTTTTTATTGCTAGTGGGGTGGGACTAAGTCCCTTGTACTGCAGCCACATCTGGCCTACTGTACCAGCCCCAGATGATAGGTGAGGGTGATTGTGGAGCAATTGGTGGAATGAAGATTGGCAGGGGAAACCGAAGTACTCGGAGAAAACCTGCCTAGGCGCCACTTTGTCCATCACAAATTCCACTTGACCAGACCCGGGATCGACCCCAGGCTGCCGCGGCGGGAAGCCAGTGACTAACCGCTTGAGCTGGTTAGTTGACTGGTGAAAAGATTTTGTTCCATGGCTCAGTCAGAGTATCAGCATCATCTTTAGCCAGTTTATACAGAGTTCATATGAACATACAAGACATACGTTATAGCATCAGTATCTCCATCTCCATCCAAAATAAGGAGATGCTTTATTAACATTGCTTTAGAATATGCCTTTAGGAAGGTCCAGGAAAACCTGGTGGGACTGAAATTAAATGGGACATATCAGCTGCTGGTCTATGCTCATGACGTAAATCTATTGGGAGGGGCAGTCAAATGAAAATCGGCCAGAAGCCGAAACATATTACAGAACATTTCTTACCTCAAAAGTAATCTCCAAAACTGTTAATATATTTATCCCAATGGGAGATAAGACAGTCAATCCCATCCTTGAAAAAGCTTGTGGGCTGTCTACAGAACCACATCTTTACCCAGCCACGCACGTCTTTGTCCGATGCAAACCAATGTCCACGATGTCTCTCTTCAGGTCTCTAAAAATGTGAAAGTCACATGGGGAGAGATCTGGGCTGTAGGGGGGATGTCAAAGCACTTCCGAACCAAATCTCTGTAGCGTATTCCTCACAGAGTTGGCAGTGTGGGGGCACGCATTACCATGAAGAAGGATAATGCCGTTCGGTAGCATTCCAGGGCGTTTTGACTTTATGGCACGTCTCAGTTTCTGCAAAGTGTCTTCACTTGTGCAATGACTGTGTCCCCATGATCGAGAAATTCGACATGAAGAGGCCCTTGCAGTCGAAGAAGAACATCTTCATCACTTTACTAGAACTTGTGTGTATGGCTTTCAATTTCTTCAGTGGGGGAGAATTCACATGTTTCCATTGCTGACTCTGCCATTTGCTCTTGGGTTCAAAATGGTGGCACCAAGTTTCATCCCCAGTGGCAATACGGGACAGAAAAGCATACTCTTCCTCATGGTATCGTTGCAAGTGACCCAGTGATGCAGCCATTCTCCAAGTCTTCTGTTCCTCTGTGAGTTAACATGGAACCCACTGCACGCACATTTTGCGGTACAGGTGTTTTGTCATAATGTCGAGTACAGAACCGTGACTTATTCCCATCAAAAGACTAATTTCTCCCACAGTGATCCGTTGGTTTGCCTGGATATGACCATCCCACACAGCAATAACATCAGGAGTGATGACATGATGAGCCTGTCCCGGGCGAGCATCATCTTGCAGTGACACACGTCCCTCTCGGGATCTCTTATGCCAAGTCAGCACATGCGAATGTGACATGCTGTGTTTGCAGTAAACAACAGACATGCAATTATGAATTTCTTGTCCTCCTACTCCTTCAGCAGTCAAAAAGCGCACTACACTTCGCTCTTCTTCTTTACCCACTTCCATTACTGATGGCGGACAACCACACGTAGCGCTAACCTTACTTCCAGCACAATAAACAAACGACTAATGTGCAAGGGCACGTTGTCACTGTGCTTTCCCCACAAAATATTCGTACCGTAAGCAAATTCTAGTGTTACCAACTTGCTTGCCGTGTGAGTTATGCATGGTTACCCATTTTCAATTGACTGTCCCTTATAGATATCATAAACAAAAACAAAAAGTCATGCAGAATGAGATGGGCAGGTCATTGAACACAAATGCGAATAAGAAGAAGGCATATAGGGTGTTGATGGGACAGCCAGAGGGAAAGAGACCACTAGGAAGACCAAGGCATAGGGGGTACGATAATATTGTCACATAATAGAGTGATTATAGCGGGGTTTTGGATTGATGATTGGATTTATTGGACTCTTTGTCTGGTGCATGCACACAAATAAACAAACAGACAAACAAACACACACACACACACACCCCAGTACCCACAGTCATGTGTTCACTGCCCCTGCTTTGTAGCAGCTATCAGTGGTAGGCATTCCCCTTCCTCTGGGTTCCTGAATTGTCCCCAGCCTCAGCTACTAGCTTCTGACAGTAACAGCTCACAATGACTGAATTGCAGTGGTTCTCTAACACACTCACCAGTCAACCCTATCCACTGACTCATTAGCTACAGCAACACAGACTGCATACAAAACATCTCTTCCATTATCGCTGTATTCTCTTGTTGCTGTGGAAACACGCTCACTTGCGGAGTTGTTACCCAGTAACGGCTGTTTTTTAATAGCTTATTTTGTGGTTGTTGCCTAGCAATGGGTCTACATGCCACAATATTAAGATTGATCTTAGAAAGATAGGATGAGGTGGTATGGACTGGATTGATCTGGCTCACTACAAGAATCAGTGAAGGAAATGAAACTCTCAGTTTCATTTTGGGAAATTTCTTGTGTAGTTACACAACTGGCAGCTTCTGAATAAGGGCTCAGTTCCATAGAGTTAGTTTATTTAGTTATCCCATGGAAAGCATAGGTTCAGTTCTGACCTTTATCACCTTTTACTGTATATATTCCAGCATATGTACAATGTATTCAAGGATTTTTTCAACCGGTATGCATGCTGAGAGACAAATGATGTGTATTGGCAAACCTGTCAGAGTTGCACATGTGCTGGTGCACTGTGTATTTCAGTCCTGAAGCAATCTGTGCAAGAAAGTACTGGAAAACATATTTGCTAGGGGGGGGGCACCGTATATGTCATAGCATAGATGAATATATATACATACGTACATACATTTCATTTCACAAGTCCAAACAAATGGACATGAAGGTCGTCATACAAAAATTTAAACAAACACACAGATAACGAAATAATTAAAACTAATTGTTTATGTTATGCTCCACATATTCAGAAACTGTATAAAAGGAATTATTCATAAGATATAAAAACAGCCTATTTTTAAAACTAATTCAATCCTCTTTAAGGCTTTGAATTGTTATGGGCAATCTGTTGAATAGTTTAATGGCAGTAAACATAGTACCTTCCTGAAAAGCAGAAAGATTCGAGTTTGGCAAATTTAATTGTTTTTGATTTCTTGTATTCAAACCATGAACATCTAAACCTGAACAAAATTTAGTTTGATTATCAGTCACAAACATCATCAACGAGAGAATGTATTCACATGACAATGGCAGTATATTCAATTTCTTAAAAAGATCCCTACAAGAGTCTCTAGGTCCCACTCCAGATATAATCCTTATTAATACCTGCAGACATGAAGAACACGTCACTGTTGAGCCGGTAACTGGTGGGTCTGCCCCTGAAAGTGGCAGGCACAGAAGGAGGTGGAGTTTCCATGTGCATATCACAGCCATTGATATCTATGTCTGTAAGCACTGCAAAACACAACACATAACAGTTTTACAACATTTCTTAATATTACGCATCTTGTTGTGTGTTATAAATAAGATATATAAAGTACAGAATATACCGTCTACATAACAACAATCAGTATTCAAAACAAAGAAGACACTACTGTATCAACATTTGCTTTTATTGTGTTTATTAGAGACACGAAAAAATATGTTGCGTCTCTAATAAACATAATAAAAGCAAATGTTGATGCAGTAGTGTCTTCTTTGTTTTGAATACTGATGGTTGTTATGTAATCAGTGTATTCCGTACTTTATCTTATTTACAACAATTACTCTTTCACTCTTATGTAGTTTGCATCATTCTCACTTCTGCCTGGAGCAATTTTTCAAATGCTTGACTCTCTGCCATACCTAATTCAGTAAAACATTGCAGAATCAAATATTTTGTGTGGCATTTAACAAACTAATGAAAAGGGCATTAAATATGCTATACTCTGTTCAGAATATCTATGTAGTGCATGTAAACAAATTGTTAGCACTTCTTCTTGGATTATAGACTAGGGAAGTACTCTTTGTACACTACACGTGATGTCTCTCTTTATTGCAATGGCAGTATGTCAAAATATAGTGGACGTTGAAAAATAGTCATCATTTGAATTGTTTCATATTTGGTCCGTTACACTATCAATCACAAATTGGCAATGAATAATCCGTCGAGTGTAACAACGTTCTTAGGTCACTTATTTATTTCACTCGCCTTACATGTTTCGGTTCAAAAGAACCATCATCAGAGGCACGTTACAAACACATGAAACCACTGGCGTTGTATTGTACACAGTATGTAAGCTGCGTGATCTGCTACAGATGTCGGAGTGTAAAAGCACAACACTTTCTAGTAACGTTGAATGCATGTACACCTCTTGCATTCCATCCAAAGAATGCTCTCAAATTGAGCCGTCAATGTTAAAATATTTAAAAGCTTAAAACATTTGAAATAAAATTTGGCTCCTTCTTGTTGATTCGTCCCGGTGATGGGAATCGTCAACTTGAGGTTGTGTATGCTGCAAAGATATTGTATTATATTAGGTTTTATATATTATTATATATTTAAAGGTAAAACTTTTACTAGAAGATAAACGCATCATCTACTACAACAGATACGTAGATGATATAATTATGATTTATAACCGATCAAAAATAACACCCCAATACATTTTAGATCAATTCAACAAGCAAAAT